GAGGTATTGGTGTTTTGGAAGGGGTTCAATGAGTGTAACTCTACATTCTAGTGTAAAATTCTTCACACTACTTACTTTTGTGCCACATTAGATAACCTTGAATAAGCATTTTTTACTGGCTTGTGAAGTCAGTTTGGGATTGTACTCGGTGTTGTTGTTTCCCTAGAACATCATGCAGAATTTGGGCTGTTCCCATCAGGTCTGGTGAGTTTTGGGCACGAGCCTCTCGGGCACTTTACCACCGTATAAACAGACACACGTCTGCAATGCCATGCTGTTGCTTTCGTTACGTTAAAGTTTATGTCAAAAAATTAATGCAGCAAATTGTTCTCTTAGTATACACAATTATGACGTTCAAATATTTAATGACGGCGGCAATGTGCAATAATAATCAAATTTCCACGTCGTTTAAAGGTTCATTGGTTCTACATGGACACACATTCACTGTATGTGAGACGGATCTCGCACAGATTCAAAAGTGCTTCAATTATTCCCCCGTTGGAAAGGTTGAACGCGCCGACTTTTTTTTTAATTAATGACGAATTAAATGATTTGGCAGGTTGCCAGAAATATAGCGCACGTCTTTGAAGATTGTCATCGCATAATGAGATGCATTTTTTTTCTTTATTTTTTTATGCTTTTCTGATCTCACTCCCCTTACTCTCCACTGCCATTTGCCCCTGTGCCTTAGCGATTTAATGATATGCAAATGAAATATGCATAAAATTCTGCTGTAGGATGATTAAGCGCAGAGGACATTAGGCAGTGCCTGCCACAGTGTCTTGTGTCGCTCTGCTCTCTCCGCTTAAGTGCCAATGAACACCACAGTAATAAAGATTAATCCTGCTAATGTGTCGTCATTTGAATAACGCAAATAATATCCAGTAGGAGAAGAAATTCAGTCCCAGGCTCAGGTTTCCTCCGACTGCTTTGTAAGATCCAGAAAGAGGGAAGGTAGATGTCTTCAAGTCTGTCAGAGTTGAGAGTGAGCAGAAAGCAAAGACCAGCATTTCCAGGACAGATCACTTCGTTAGTGCCATGCAGGAGATGTTCTGTTTGTGAGTACTGTGGCATTATTTCAATACTGGCATATAACGGATGAAGAAAAATATCCTGCGTTCTTTTTCTCTCTCTCTCTCTCTCTCTCTCTCCCTCCCCTATTACTTGCAGGGGCTGTTTGACACACACTCTGGCACACACACACACACACATATGCCCACACAGTCCACCCCCCTTTACATTGTGCTCAAGTGCAAGCCCTTTTTTGTAATCCATTTGCGTAATGAAGACTCTGCACAATTAACATCCCCTTTGGAATTAAATAAACGGTAATTATCCAAAGTTCATTAGGTCCGAAGATTTGAACGTCCATGCGTGCCCCCGATGAAATGCGGAAAATATGACGCCAATCTGAAATGTAAATGTTGTCGGAAACGTTGCAATCTCATTATCGCTTTTGAGGCGTCCAAAAGATGCCATCTTTCAAGCGCTCCTTTTTCAGCAATGCTACCAAGTCAGACATTCTGGTAGTGGCAAGGTTGGCATGTAAAAAGATGGTATAATCCTTTTCTTTGGATGACTCTCCTAATTATTCATATTTCACAACCGATGTCCGTAAAAAAATCTGTCAAAAAAATGTTGGATCCCAGAAGATTAATATCCGTGTGGTTTTAATTAGTTATTTAGTTCCAACCGTAACATGTAAACGAACCCGATGGGAGCCTCCGATGCGTATCTTCTTTGCAATGCCAATCCTTGGCTCAGTGCCCAATGCCAGTGTACCCTGCGGGAACCACGAAAACGGTCCTGCGGACCCAGAGAGACCCTGGACTGCAAGTCAGACCAGTTGGTGAGTCTGTGTTGCATCTGTTTATGACAGTTTAGAGCAGGAGGGGAAACCTAAAAGGGTGGAGTTTGTTCATTTCTTTTAGATGGTTGGCAAAACAGGGCATAAAAAAGTGTTGCAGATCTGGGGTGTGGGTGCAGAGGATGTGATGTGTTCCCACGGCCTCACTACCCCCAGTTTGGTTGCAGGCAGGCAGGCCAGCACCTCCCCCTTTATCTCTTTCTTGTGCCTTGTGTGCCCACTCCACCATGTTCCTGTTTTGACCACATCACCTGTCTCTCTCTCTCTCTCTCTCTCTCTCTCTCTCTCCCCCTCTCCCCTTTTCTTACTGCTCTTTTGCTGCTAAATTCTTAATTATTATTATTTTAAACCTTTGCTTATTGATGTTGATGGTAACTGCCACAAATAGTGGAGACTGTAAAGAATTTTATGACCAATTAAAATGAGCTTTTTCCTATGAAAAATGTAAGTGTAACAAATTAGAAAATACTTCTATTCATTTTGAAAGATAATGAAATATAGTCTGATTTTTAGTCATATAATTCTTGGCAGAGTTTGTTTTCATAGTGTAAGACAGTCCCCCCCCCCACCAACCCCCCAATCTCCCAGGAAAAAACAGCTTGTAGGAATTATCAGATTGGCAGCATCTGATAAAGCAAATTTTTTGTTTTTGTTTTTTGTGGTTAGACATCCAATGTGGCATCCTCCCAGTACAAAACAGATGGCAGTTTACTCTGGCAAAACTAGGCTAAGGTTCAAAGCAGTTGGCACGAAACGTCATTAACAGTGCATCCCTCTTGTAAATTTAAAGCGATTGTTGCTTTTATCTTGTTTTATCCTGTTTCTGTTGGCGTTTTGCCTCCATTAACGATTCCTTTGTTGATTAGTTAAGTCCCTCCAGTGATTAAGCGTGTCAGCCTAATTAACGAAGTAAATGCTTTACTAATTAGTCCGGCCAGATGCTCCAGGATGTGCTGTTTGTTCTTTCTCTCTTTTTGACAACAAATTTGAGAAGGCTGTCCGATTGGCGGCGTTTTGGATTAATTGCGATGTAATTCCTTTCCCAGCTTTTCATCAAATTCCGGTTGGTGCATCACTCCAAAGACATCTTCCAAACAAATGACTTTAACCCATGTCCTCAAATGCCAACTGTGTCGTTTTAATTGTAAACGTCTTCCGAGGTTGCATCCTTTACTCCTTACACATTGTTCATTGCGCTTCTGCCCAGATGGCTGGCTGGCAGCCTGGCACAGAGAGATGGGTAGAGAGAGAGATGGCGAGGGTGAGAGAGAGAGAGCGAGAATAAGTTTGAGGGAGGAGCTTCCTTTTGTGCCAACGTCACGCCGTCCTTGTTCTATGGATGAAAACAAAAACAGGCGAAAGAGGCTGTTTATTTGAGAATTTCAACCTCTTTCCTGTATTCCATGTGGCAATGCGTCAACTTCCTGTTCTTCTTCATTCAGCAGCCATCACTGTTGGTTTACTTCCTGTTCCTGGGCTGACTTTTTGAATCTTGGAACTTCCCCCTGTGCCTAGTGTCAGTCAGCAGACAGAATCCACAGAATATAACATTAATTGTGTTTTCGATCCCATCTTGATGTATCCGGCAGATGCTTAGTTGTCTTCCAGGTGCCACCGTTGTAGAGACCTTTTATGGCACAACGAAAATTGCAAAAACAACAACAAAAAAAACAGCTTGTAGCACACCATGCTTACAAAGTAAAGGACCAGACCCTTCTGTCTCCCAAGCTTTATTTAACCACCTTCTGTTGAGATAGAACATAGGTCCGCCTTGGCGCTACCACTGAATGGATGGCACTGTGCCAACTTCTCTCTGCCATCAAGCGTATTCGCTCCTTATTTCCCTTATTTGCCCATCCCCTTTCTTTCACAGTCCCTCTCTCACCCTCCCTTCTCCTCCTCCTCTCTCTAGTTTTAATTCCACATGACCAATACACCCACCTTTCATCACCCTTTCCTTTCACCGGAGTGACATTAATTAACATTTTGGTTAACTTATTTTAAAAGATTTCTTCTTCTCACGGCGTTCATGAATTGCCTGACAATTCCACACCGTACGGTTACAGTAGAAGGTAGATCTAGTTCACAATGACGCTGGAAGAAACCTTCACCAGTAGCTCTGGAAAAAACAAAAACAGTCTGAGATTTGTCTATATGTGCAGCTGCAGTAATGTTTCATCTGAAGCTGCTCACCTGACTGTAGCTGACTATGCTCAGTACTATCTTTGTCTTTCAAAGACCACCACAGTCCCCCAGAAATCACCTTCCTTTTTCGAATTCTCTCGCTGACGCGTCTCATGTACTGTATATTCAATCACTTACCGTGTTGTTTCAATCTGCATTTTTAATCGTCTGTGTCATATCAGAAGCGCAGAAATGGAGGATGTACAAAACCCTCCAAGGGCTGTAACGGAGACTGCGTACGCCGTATTGTCTTGTGTGTCTATCGTTATTTAAAGGTTTTCATCCCTTGCACATTAAATCATCAATGACTGTTTAACGCTCTAATTTCTGTTCAGTTCGGTCTTTAGAACGGCATGGATAAGGTTAATCAGTGGAACCTAGATTTGTTTAATTATTTCTTAAAAATCCCTGTCCGTCAGTTAGAGAATTCCCACCGCTGTTAATTAACAATGCAGCAGCCTGCTTTATTAATCGAGGCAGAATATACTAATTAGCAGAGAGATTTATGAGCTTATTATTTTCAGGTCTTAATTTTGCAGTTTCTGAATAAATGTGTGTAGTGTGTAACCTAGTTGCCATTTTTTAATATCTGTGTATAGGTCATTGAAACTGTCGGTTTACGGAAAGGTGCCATACTCGCACAAAAGTGTCGCTGAAAGGGCTTTGACAGCACAGTGTTTTAGGAAGGCACCTTCACAATCCTTCATAACGATCGATATTTTTTTCTTTTTGTATTATTATTAAATACAAACCAACAACTTCGTAATCGTGGCAACAAGAGGAATCCATTATGCAAATCGACCAATATTTGCATAATGTATTATGCCAAGGATATGCAAATGAAGCATATAATTTATGAGCGGCTGTATTTGTCTCATCGTGCTCCCATAACTTACAAAGAGTTTTTTTTCCCTTTCTTTTTCCCTCCTCCTCTTTCCTTCTGTGAAAGCTGGCATGATGAGCACCACACTCTCAGACCACAGCCACACTAAACAAGCACACCCACAAAAGAGGCTGCAGCCTGGGTACCATGACTGCATGTGAAAACCTGGCAGTGTGGGGGATAAGGAAGCAATGAACAGGGGGGAAGTAGCGGGTGGCATGGAGATAATCCACAAAGGCTAGGAAGCTGATGTTAATTGACTAAACCAACTGCGAAACTAAGAAAATCAGCAAGAACGAGATTACAACCCTGTAGGGCGACGTTGATTTCTGACTTTTTTTTGTCATCTGAGAAGAGTTTGATTCCTTTTTTTGTGCTGTCATTGGATCTGGCAGTTTTTCCTCTTCTGGAAGATTTTCTCATGACTCAGTTGGATGAAGGCAACTGGGTACAGGGTGGAATGGATAAGAGAGAGAGAAAGTGTGTGGGAGAGAGAGGCTGTATCTCATGGCATGTGTGAGTGGACTACACTAACTGACTACAAGGATGCCATCAGTCAGCCTGCCACAGCCAAGTCCACGACAGAGCCTGTGGTCTGCTCACAGGACGACTGGGACCACATGCATCCTTTTATGCAAAATAAATGGCTTACTAAATTTTCTCGGCAGGATTGTTTCCTACAATTATTGTATTACAAATTATTTATGATAATTGGCCTGTTATGCATCATCGATGTGACGCTAACGGCTGAAAGACCCGGTTGTATTTGGTGTAAAGAGATAAGGCACGGGACGTCGCTGGAAGAACTAATTGCTGCAATCAAGAACATATCGGAAAAAGGGAAACACGAATGGAAATCTTCCTCATCAGCGTCTGTCGTTTTTACAGAAATTCCAAAAATTATATTTTAGTCATGATTTTGTTTTCCGTCTGTTCAGGTTTTCCACTTTCCCGTAAATACTTGGACAAATCTGAGTTTGTTGTTGTAGAACTGCAACTGAACTTGAATGTAGCACGGGCAGTTACCATGTGTGGACTTTACAGGAAAATGGACTCTGTGTGTGTTAAATATCTTAATAGCAGCACAACTGTGTGTGTGTGTAGGTGTGTGTGTGGGCTAATGGGTTTAAAAGAAGCCAAAAACGACAAAGGAAAAGTGCTTTATGTAAGTCAGCATGACGTGTCTCTTTTTTCCCCTCCCATGCATGGAGACATGCTAATGTAAAACTACGGGTCACCGTTTCTCTCGCCGTAAGAGGATGTTGGCGACGAGAAACAATGACTGTCTTTGGATTCTTTTGCCGATGTAATTTTACCTCATTGCTCTGGTTTCTTCTCTCGTGCCTGCGCTGCATTGCTAATTCCATGGCGGACCTTTCTTAATTACAAAGTCAAGATCATTATCCACCACAATTTCAACGTCCTTAAGGTTTCCAATTTGCATTTTTATTCTCGTTGTCCATTTATTAGACGATGCTGCGTGATAGCGAGATTCGTTTTCTGTATGTGCCGAATTCATGTGAGCAATTATTTTCATAAATGAGCTCTCGGCTGGCAGCTTTTCACACTGCACAGACCTTTTCATTATCTCTAATTAATCTCTCATTTAGATGTAGAATATTCACAGTCCTTATTATGCGTTAGAAATTTCACAATCAAGTTGCAGTGGTTTTACATGGCTACGATGGTGTACCCATAGATATTACCTACTGTATGGACATTCAGTCAACGTCGCTCATCGGTCCTGTTAGTGTAATTATACAATAAGTGCTTTCATACTTACAATTATGTGATGAATTAATAGGAATACTACCTAGTCGAATGATTACAAAATTGGGTATTAATATGAAAAATTGTCAAGTAGAATGGAAAAGAAGGGCAAAAAATATATGTTGAACGAAAAATAGACCGAGACGTATACTGTATGTTAAAGGTTGTTTAATGAACTCGTTCATTGACACAAAATAAGATGAAGACGTACTGGTTGATTGCAAAAGGGTTTTTAAATTCCAAAACAAATCAACAAAGTGTGTTGTCTTCTCTTTCATTTTCCATACCTTTTATAGTGGCCAAAAAAACCCCACATTTTGACTTTTGTGTAATTTGGTTTGAAGTACTTTTGCGACAGCCACTGCTGTGTTTTTGTAAACAAAAAGAAACACCTAACAGACTTTCAAAATTAAATAAATGAAAGATGACAGTAAGGAGGAAAAAAAACACGTTAATTTGTAATTTTCTGTGTTACAAAGTGACACCTTTTATACACTTGACCAAAAAAAGAATGACAAAGAAGGGAAATCAAAAAAACAAGTACATCAGTATAAAAGTAACACAAACCACTTATTCGTATTTGTTGGACAGAATGTACGCTCACTCAAGTGGAAAAGCCCAGTTTAAAAGGCACCACAGCCAGTCAGTGGAATAGCTGGTAAATAAAAGAGAACAGTACTGACATGAATACTTCAACTGTTCTTACATGTGAAAATGTCTCTGAATACATCACAATAACAGCCCCATAATGAGTATTCAGGCCGTTTTAAATGTACACTGAGACTATTAGCCATATTTCTCGTCTTCAGGGCTAAAGGTGATGGACTTTAAAACATCAGCTGACTGGGTGATGTTCTCAATAAAAGAGTAACATGACACAAGTCACAAGTTAAGACACATCTCATCACACATTACAAAAAGACCAAAATCACAACAATGTCCTTTTCATTGACGGTGTCCTTGGCTTAATAAAACCAAAGTGATCTCTCCATCTGTTGAAGGGTTCTTTAAAATAAAAAAATAAAATCTTTGCTATTTCACCATGGTTTTATTCAGGACATATGACTGCAATTCAGGTAACAATGAGCCATAGATGTTGAAGAGGGGATTGAAGTGTACATTCAGGGAAATCATGTAGACGCAACGAGTTTAATAGTTTTTATTATTATTATTATTATTATTATTATTATTATTATGTTTTTACTTTATTCTTACTGACAAAAACCTAAACTGAAAAATGCAACCCCCGGATCCTTGAATTATTCAGCATGTTTAGCTGTGAAACCTTTTATTTTGGCCTGTTTTTAAACAAATTGTGTAGTTGCAGCATTCCAATAAATGGTTAAAAATGAATGGCCACCAAAGAGTTTCTGATTTTTGTCGCCATTTAGTCCATTTGTGCCGTAGCCTCATCTTCAGTTGTCCAAAAATATGTTTTGTTTTCATTGTCTGATGCTCCAGTTCATGATACAGCAAATATATAAAGGCTGTGTACTGCAGACAGACGTATCAAGTACTGGTTATGAGGGAAGGCAAATGGATTGAAGTAATGTCCTGTTGGAAGATTATGTTACTAAGTTCTACACCATTTGAGTGTTTTTTCAAAATCACTAACTCTAATTGATGAAAAAACATGAATTGATTCTGAGAAACTTGTTCTCTTGTTGAAGTAAAAACAGTTTGCTAAGTCACAGCCTTGACTTGCTTGAGAAATGGTTGATAGTTTTGGTTGATGCTCCTGTGATATTATTATTTATTTATTATAATATATATTATCCTGTGATATTATTATTTATTATAATATTATATTTATTATAATATATTTATTATTAATATTTATTTATTATCCACATTATTTTACCTGTAATCTTCAACTACCCTCATAATATATTCCAGGCATTCAACATCTAACTTCAACAACAAAAATATTTTCTTTGTATTACCATAATTTATTTCTTGTTTCCCATATTAGTCAAATCACTGTAGGTCAAGGACATTTTAAACTGAGGACCCTCTGCAATTAATGACACAACCTGTTTTTCAATGATACATTTATTAATAAAAAATTGTATGTTGCCTTAAATGTTAGCCACATGACATGATAGCCTTATTCTTAAATATAGAAGAGAACGGACTGTTCTTTACAGTATGTGTCAAAAATATGTAGATGCTGAAAGATTGAGTAAAAAGGGAAAAAAGAGAAAGCTTCATATCTACCCTGATATCTTGAAACCTCCATGTTCATTTCACCCCTCCACCCTTTAGCTTGCATTAACAGGAGAGGATTTATTTCAACAGAAGTTCCCATCAAAGTGGAAATCTTCTTCCACTGACATTAAGGTTTAGGCATTATGGATAAAAGCACCTGAAAATCACCCAGGATACAAATGGGTTTATAAATACAGTACATACATCAGGAATTAAGGTGGTCTATAAAAGCACACAATGTCAGGGATAAATGATGTCTCACCATATAATTTGCTATTTTTCCATTTGGAGGAGATTCTCTATTCTTGATTTGAAGTCTGTGTGTTCATGGTGTATAATTTTATCATAGGGCTCTGTAGTGATGTGTATGTATGTTTTCTGTTAGGTTTAATGCTATGGAATAAAAACAGAGGTCAAATCTGTCAGCTCATTAAATACAGTGTTCTTCCTGTAAAAGTAGGCTCCAGCTTGTTGCCTTGCTGTTGCTGTGCAGAAACTGGCCATAATTTTAGAGACCGAGTGAAGATTGTTGCTACAGTAATACATATACATACATATTTACCCAATTGTAAATATATGCAGGAATCCAATTGAGTGTTTTGTATTTGCGTGATTGATTAAATTAAAAGTACAGTTATATTCCACCTTAACTGAACAAAACTGTTTACATTACAAATATTCATTATGAAAAGTAGAATCAAATGACTTCATACTTACTCTTTTAACAATAGATTGTACTTTGTATGTCCGTCATCTTGTCAGCAGCCGTTACTTCAAGGGCAGCTCCTGAAGACGTTCCACCTCTCATTCAATAGGCTTCTTCTCCAGTTCTGGAGATTCTTTTACCCAAACTGCCTTCACTTTAATGCCAGCCATTTGCATGAGAGGTGAAACATCTTCAAGAAACTAAGACAGTCGTGCTGTAGTTGATGCCGTGGATACGTTGTTGTAGTTTTTTCAGTGGTTTTGTTCAAATTCATGCAATGAAAGTAAAATATAAATTGGATTATTGGATGGACACTTTGTTTTGTGATTGGTCACCCTTGTCATTGAGAAGTCAACAGGAGCAGAACCTCCTCCTTATATTTAACACATATATCTGTCAAGCCTTGATCATTTGAAGTGTTCTTTATTTGTTGCACACACAGATGATTCTTAGTAATCAAAGCACATCACTAATGCAGTAACTTGGCTGATAGTTTTTTTTATTGGATCTATTGTTGCCACCATTGCCCTAAGTATGAAACTAATAATAGAAATATCAGCGACAACCATGTGCACACCTGTCCATGTTTTCAGAGGTCAGAGACCATGTGAAGAATAGGACAAACAACCATAACACACATGATCATTGACATGAACCAATACAACAAACCTTGTGCCAGTGCATAACTGTGTGCTGGTTGGTTGGCAGTTGAACCCAGTTCATCCTAATTTGACGTTTTTGCTATGCTTGCAGGCTGTGCCCTCAGTGTATCTTAATTTCCCTGAGCATGACCCAGCAGTTCGGAATCTTGTTTTGTAAACATGAAGCCCACTCTGTGTATCTGTCATTCATTGCACAGCACATAAATTTACCGTCACGGTATAATTCCAATTTCACATTCATTGTGGCAGCCATTTGTGTTCCTCTGCATACACGTCTGTCCGTATCTGTGTAGCTCTTCTGCCTCATTGCACCACACCTCTTACCAGCAGATGCTTCCAAAGCCTCGGACTCAATGAACCAGACAAGTGCCAGAGGGTAAACATTTCCCACTGCCACCTGCCTTTTTGCCAAATAGCTGCTTTTAGCATGCACCAGATGTCATAGTCAATGCTAGTGTTGGCATCTGTGTACTCACACATGCATACACATTGCTAATGAGGCTAATCCTGAAATACACACCGAGTGCAACTAACCCCAGGGCTGTGTTAAGCTGTTTCTACATGTTAACAATTGCATGTAATGTGCGCTAACCGGTTGCATTATTTAGACGGGGGTAATTAACAGTCGTGTAGTCTCTTCATAATTCATCTGCATTAAAAGTGCAGCTGTTGTGATAGGATCAACAGAGATGGTACATGGTGTAGTTGAAGATCAGCCAACATGTCACGTGTTCATAAAACTGATCTGTCTTCTCATTCGCTCTGCAGCTGCTAAGGTTAATCAGCAGCAGATACAATTTAAATATTATTGTGTTTGGAAGGGACATTCTGTACAGCAGGGTTCTCAAGTTCAAATGAGCCGAAGGCCACTGCGGCCACAGTCATTTTATTGGAGGCTTTAATATTCAATACAAAAACAATTTAGAAACATTTTGATATATATAAATACTGTATATTAGTGCAGTGTAAAACATTTTGTCTTATTCCTAAATGAACAACTAAAACATTTTAATATTTAAAAAAAATGTATAATGAAAAATAACATCACAGGGAAATAGGTGTTGACACAGACCTGATGTGAGAATGTTTTTTTGTTTTTAAAAATATAAAAGTATCAACTGTTTGATTAAAACATAGCAAACTGACTGATTAGGGAATTTTGTCACTTCAAGGTTGTATATAACACATCCGTAAATAGACAAATATCTTCCTGTTACGTGTGTTGTAAGCATTAATTTTTGTTCAAAACAGATTGGAGGTACCTACCAACTGATTTTAGTTTTTAACATTAACATTAGCTCAGTAGTTAGCCACTCTCTGAACAGCCGTATCAGTAATGCACAGAAAGATTTTGGATCATCTAAGACAAAAATGTTGACACTAAGTTTCTTCTTTGGCATGATGTCATAGCTGTTGTGTCTGGTACTGTAGATGGGCATATACATAACAAATGACTTCATAAGCTTTTAGGTTTCACACACATAATAAAGGCTCGTCTTAAACCTCTGGTTTTTTTTGACAAACCTGTAATTGTTCATCAGCATCATACAACCAAATTGCACATCTCCCCTCCCTTAGCCTGCAGCCCTTGGTCCAGTCTCGCGAGCAGCGTGCTCTGGGGGCTAAAGGAGCTCGTTAAAGTCCATAACTTATCTCATGTTTGAAGCTAATGGGTAGAATACTGGCTGCAGTGAAAAATAAATTACATTTTTCCCCCTCTCCCCTGCTGCCCTCCTAACCTGCGGCGCAATATAGCGGCGGTGAGAGTATGCATTACAGATCCAAAGCATTAGAATTTATCTGTGCTGCACGACGCTGACTGATGCATTTGGAAATAATGTACTGGAGCTGGGCATTACAAGAACCCCTGTAACTAATGGACAGCTCTTGGCTGTAGCCAGCAATGTATATCATTCAGCTGGAATACCTCATCAACTCCAACACTTCTTTGCAGAGAACAGTCACAGAACCCACTGAGGGTTTACATTAGGACTGCTGCACTAAAACCACCTTCCTTTCTCTGTACTCTTTCTTCTCCCTGATTTTAAACACGTTTATCTTTTGAGAAATGTCTTAGGTATGTGTTAACATATAATATATTGATAGAAATATGTAAAAGACAGCATTTAGGATAAGCAGTACCTTCAATTCAGGCTTTCTGCCAACTTGACCTGCTTTTCTGCCTTTATTTAGAAATAATTTTTTTTTTTAGTATGGCCGTCAATTAATCAAAAATCACATTGTAGATGTGAATAAATCACAATAAATCATGATGGTCTTGATCAAACTGTATCATGATTAATCACGATTAGTCAAGATAGATCAAAAATCCAAAT